AGCAACAGTTTTCTTCCCCAGGTACGAAAAACCACTGTTAAGCCATAAAAACATGCTATTAACCAGTACTCAACCAAAGGGCACCAAAAAGAAAATGATCAAATCAACAGTGTTCAATAACATATTTACACAACATGTAGTAAAGTACTGCAGCAGAATTAGTATTATTGATGAAAGTGAGACTGTGTCACTAAATCCAACAGGACAAAGCCAGCTGAGGCAGCTACTAGTTCAACTATTGATCATGAGAATTAGATACACACACACAAAAAAGACCCTGTCCTTTAATAGACTCTATGAAGAGATCTCTCTGCATCCTTTGACATCAGTTGAGCTCTGCCACACAAAGCTAATGACATGATTAGAATCAAACAACAGGATAACGAAATGAAAGATAACTCTAAATCTACTTAAAACAAAAGAAAAAAATAAAAGCATCTAAATACCTTAATGTAGGTACAAATGACATACATCAAAGGCAGCAAAAGCTAAAAGTCAAACCAATTTCTACACAAACATAAAAGGGGAGAAGAAATTTAAAAGACAGTTGAGAAGAAAAAAAACAGCAGAGAATTATATAAAGGAGTACACATTTTAAAAAGACTAATATAAAAGCTGCTAAAGGTTAGAGAAAGAAATTGGAACATGCACAAAAGATGACAAAAATAAGATGCCAGTAAAAGAAAGAGATCTCTAGGAGAATGACAACACATGCAGTCAAATATAGCAGCCACATCAAAAGAAGTTTTGTACCAATTAAAGCCTCAAAGAAAGAGAAAAATCAAAAGTTGGATAGGTTACCCTAACATCTTAGAAAGCATCCAAAGAAATTACAGACCCCAAGATTGATCTTTAAACTAAGGAAAAGAGCAAACAGTTTTTCTTCCCTCCTCCTCCTCTTTTTGGGGATGTGTACTGAAGCAGCACTTAACACTGAATTAAAAAATTCTAGGGGGGGGGGGGGGGGAGGAAACAACAAACCATAGAAAGATTCAATGAGAGTGAGATGAAAGCAAAATCCTAGAGTTAAATAAGTGCTGAGGTTGCAAGACACCTGAAGATAGAGAAGCAATGTAAAGCAGTCCTGTTTTGTAAAGTGCAATTCTTCTGACAGCTGCTGACATTTGAGGAAATAACCCAAAGCCTGTGGGCTTCAAATCAAATACTATTGCTTTGGTTTTCAATGCAGTATTTTACCCAATGCTGAAGCATCATTCCACATATTTAAGTTTATTAAGCATTAAAATATCCTCCCTGCAATTAAAAAGAAGGACAAGGGACAGATTGTAACACTAGGTTAGTAAGGTTAGAGTGTCATGTTCTATTATAGTGAGGAGGTCAAGGATGAAAACAAACATCGTCACTGGAAACGCTTGTCACTTCAGACAGATTAACAACGCCAAGAAGCTGCCATGCTACGCAGTAAAGAATACTTCATACGGAGTCAGCACAAATTTAAAACCCTGATGTATGCAGTGTCCTAATCTTTGCATAAGAAAAATGAGAGGATTTGGGCTTTAGGTGCGAGTTGACAGTAATTCAGACTCCAGAGGAACGCAGACAAGTCGCCCTGCAAAAGGGCTTCTTCCAAACGCATGAAAGAAAGCAAGCGTACTATCAATACTACCATTACCAGTCCAAGACACGTCCAGTCTGACAACAGCATATATGAAGGACTATACAAGATGTTCACAGCTGATAATGGCATCCAGCCATACAGACTCTGCACCAAACCCAGAACTGACAACATTTACAGGTAGGATAGTTCAACATACTCCATCTAAAGATGCACACTGTGATGGAAAACCATAACTTTGGGTGAACTACACAGAGACAAATGTCAAAGGGGATAAAAGCTACAAGCAGAAATAAGGAAGAATACTGGGATGTACATGTCAGCTGCACACACGGCACTGTGCCGACTGAAATAATTGAATTTTAAGCTGCCAAATACTTTTTATCAAAAACTTGCCTTCACAAAGTATTCTCTCTTCCTCAGTATTTTCTAGCTGGATAGGATTTTCCATTCTCTATGAACTATTTTCAAGGTAGCATTTAGATGCTGCTGGTCTAATTTAAGACAAGGTTCAAAATAACTGGCAAGGGTGAAAAACTTTGAGGAACATCTTCCCTGCAAAACGTATGCATCACTTCTTTGTCAGGCCTGACAACAGCACTGTATTCGGTAAAAGCCAGGTAACTTTTTCCAGCAGTATCTGTTGATCTAGTGAAGACACCAGCATGTCCTATGAATCTGACTTCCTGTATTTTACAAGGCTTATGCAAAATCCCTTCAATTATTTTGGATTTAAACATTATCAGATTTTCCCATCAGCCTGTGAGAACAATTCAAAACCCCATGAACTCTGATATTTAGAACTTAGTATGAAAAAGCATTAACTACATAGAGTAGGAAATCCTATTCAGCTACTAGCAAGTGCATTTGCATCTGGCAGGCATATATGAATAGGTAATAGGTAGCTGTTTACATCAATTTTCAAAATCAACTGCCTAAAAGATTTGGAGCAAAAGGTGTTAGGGACTGAAAAGTAAAAGGTTTACAATTCTCCAAGCCCACTACAGGGCAGGAACTGAAAGGCAGCAACTGTCTCAGGATTGCAAGCCCAGGGGGAGGCAAGGGAAAGCAGGTTTTAAACATAACTACAAACGTGAAGTTCTAAGTACCTTAATGAGAAGAATGTCCTGAAAATTACTGGATTATGGCATGGAAAAAGGTGCAGTTGTGACTGCAGTGAGGTGGACATACGAAGACAGTCTCATTTCTCAAAGGGTGCCAGGACATCCTAGTTTTACAAACGAACAATGTCTCTGTGTGCAAGAGGGGGTACATCAATAACGAAACAAAAAAGCCAGTGAAATTACAGGGAGTCCATTACAAGCAACACCGCTGCTCTCTAGAGTTTAAAATCTGCTTTCCAGTGACTCAGGCTGGCAAAGTTCCAAAAGCCCTTTTCCACTCATATGCTGGCAGTGATTTCAGTAATCGTTAAACAAGAAGTGAATAAAAATATGGATAGCTTCAGTAAAACGGTATAAAATAAAACACTACAACCAAGAAATCTTTTGCAGATTTTCAGTTTTTCAGGGCCAAGAAAATTTTAATCAACTGCATTTAACCCAAAAGTGAAATATAAGCTACGTTCATGTACTCAAATATCAGTGTATAAAAGTGCAAAATACAGAAGCTGTATGAATTAAAGAAAAGCTCAGTACCAGAAAAGTAGAATTACAGCTTCTGTGTTCAAGTCCTTTATATTCAGCTACTTAACAAATGCAGCTTTCCCTTGTTTGTATGAATTGTTCAGTTAACACCTACAATTCTGTAATTTCTGTGCAAGAATCAGTGCATTTCCAACATAAAGCTTTAAAAGCTTCCCATATGCTACATCATGTTCACTTTCACAATTGAACAAAATCCACAAATTCTCCATGTGACAATGAACTCCCCAATCCAGACATGAGTAAAGAGAGGATTAATAAAGTTCTGTGTATGTATTGATGCTTCAAAATAACAAAATAACACAGAAATAATGTAAAATTGGACCCAAAACATCTCTGAGGAATATGCAAATGGTAATTCCCAGTTCAGTATCTGGACAGCCATTAAACAGTCCATTCTGTCACGCCATCTGCTAGGTAGTTACCAACCCTGCTCTGTTCTCTATGCTATTTGTGCTTTATTTTTCTTTTTAAGCATGGAGCCATTCAACTTACTTGGAACTCAGATAAAAGACACAGTGGTGAACTTACAAAAAAAAAAAAAGTAATCAAAAAGTGATACACAGCAAAAAATCAGCTATGAAAAATCAAGTTTCAGATAAGTAATAAGGAGAATTAAAAAATTACTTCTAAATGCTTGCTTGAACTGCACTCCAAACAAGTTTATGTTCAGCATATACAGCAAGTCATGAAAGCTTAAGCTTTGTTTTCAAAGTTTTTATTTAACAGAACAGTTAAAGCATTTGGCAAAAAAACGTTAGTCTACGTTATAGAAGAGAAATTGTGGTAATTATTGCTCTGTGTGTGTGTGCACACTCACAGGTGTGCTTGTATGCATGTACAGAATCATAAAGTAGCCATTAAAATATCACCTCAGACTATCAGCTTAATCACGAGCCAAATGCCAACATAAAATCTTACCAGTACAACTGGACAGCAGGAAAGCAAAGATATACGCAGAGAACACAAAAGTCTCAGTCTACATCACGCAAAAAACCACAGTATGGAAACCACCAAGTTGCCCTCTTGGATCTGTACTAAATCTACAAAACACAAGAGAGCACTGTGTGGATTTAACTGCTTCAGAAGTAGTCTGAAGTCATACAAAGAGCGCAATGCAGGCCAGCTTATGTGAACCAGTTGCAAAAATCCCTATGCTTGGGACTCCAGAGCATGCTCAGGTCAGATGCATCTGTTTGATGAAGACCTACTGGAGGAGATTCAACTGCAGAAATCCCATTGGAAATTGTTTTTCAAGTTTACAAGCCATTTCTGACCAAAATATGAATCTGAAGGCCAATGTAAAAATCTGTGTCCGTCATGCACTGCATTCACTGAGATACCCGACGTAACAGAAAAGGTGATTATTCACAGGTCTTGATACAACACAAACACCAAGGGGATGAGGGATGTGCTTGCCCCAGGTTTTCTTTATTTGCAACTCAATAAAAGCATTCAGTATTTTAAAGATTTGTAAGAGATAAGCTATTCTGCACTGAGGTCACTATAGTGAAGAAAGAGTTGTGCTCATTTTTACTCATAATTATTTAAAATCTGATTCAAAAATGCCACTGTGCCTGAATATTTACTCTTAAAACCTCTCAAAAACTAATTCTTTGAAATAAGCCAAAACAAGACTGAGAAAATTTTGTGTTATTAAAAAAAGCCAAAGAAGGTGACTTAGAACAGGAACTTTTTTGGAAGGAAAAACTCTAAGGCTAGTTCAAATGCCAAGTTGAAAATTTATTTATTTTCCTTACTTTCAGAATATCTTGCGTTTCATTCCACTTGTTTGTCCACTCTTTGGTCAGTTCTTGTACCTAGAAAAGAAAACAAATATTGGAAAAAAATCACATCTCTTCTAAAGTCCTTGATAATGCATTCTCAGAGAAGTACTAGATATTGGTGCAATTCTTTGTGACGTTTAATACTTAAACATTTAGAAGAGCACTGTTGCTCCTGCAATAAGTGGCCATATCTACAATTTCTCTCTCTCGAAAAGGAAAAACACAAAATTCTTATTTATAGTATAAAATGAAACACAGGACAGGGACAGCCACTTCAAATAATGGCAGGCATTTTCAAGGAAATGGAATAGTTCCACAAAGTGCTTCATCAGTCCTACAAAGTCTACTGCCACAGATTGATCCCATAATGTAACAAGATGACAGCTCCTTTCCTACAATGCAGATAGGCATGTTCAGGCTAAAATATCCTCCAGAAATTCCAGAGGATAGCATGCAGACGAAGAAGCAGACAGGCAGCCTTCAGGAGAGAATCAGAGCAAAATGTGCTGCAACTTAGAAATCACATGCTTGGCTGAAATCAGCACAGAAGTGAGAAGCTTCTTGCAAAGGCATTACAGACAGGGAGAACGTGGGGTATGAACATGGCTTAGGTTTTCTCCTGCTTTTCCTACTCATCCAGTTGTCCATCTCATAAGTTAACTTTCATAGCTTCCGTACCCAGAGCCTTTCAGACTTTCTAGAAAGCAGCGCACAGAGGGTGCTTCAGGCAACTCTACCTCAAGGCTCTGGCTGACTTGGAACCGTAATCACATTAAATAGAATAGACACTTTCATTTTTTAAAATCACCAGATTTCTGTGCAGGAATTAAATACATAGAGCTTTAAAAACATACACAATCTTTTATTATTTGATTTCACTTCAACTGCAGAAAGCTGAAAAAAAAGCCCACCCCAAAAAAACAGCTATGTCCCTTTATTACTTTACATACAAAGCCACCGTAGGAAAAAAAAAAAAAGTTGTCCATGCAGTTCCTCCAAACATCTCCACATTTGCTACCTGCAGCCTACTATCCTAGCCATCTTTGCAGATCAACTGCAAATTAATCAATGGGAACTAAAGAAGCTTGTCTCATCTGTACCTGTGTCTCAAGATTTCAACAGAGAAAAGTAAATACATCTTTCAATGCATCATATCAGTCCTAGTGCTGCTAATCAGAAAAATAAACCAAAAAATAATTTAAAAGATTAAAGAAAAACATGAAGGAGGTCCATCATAAGTCTGTTCACCATACCAGAACAATTTCTATTCCTCCAAAATCATTTAAACATTGTTCTTATATAAGGACAAGTCAACTCATTAAAGAAAGCTACCATATATTTGTCAGATAATTTAAATATGGTGACAAGGTCTTTGGATCTGTATAAACAAATTAATTATTGCACTCATTCAATTATAAAAAAAAGCTATAACCACTGCAATATCTACTAAGAATTTTGAGTAATTATGTCCATTGTAATTATCATGAATAGTAATCACATAACCTTCTAATGAGGCTGACAAAAGATAATAAAATGTGCTCGATATACTCCCCACACAGGAGGGGCCAACACTTCTGAGCAGGACAAGTGGTGATTACTGTCAAAGCATGAATAACATACTTTAATTAGCATATAGTCAGCAGTTTTTATTACATAGCTACTCTTAGATGAAAGCTTTATGTTTGTGCATAAAAATAAAAGCATGCTACACATACTAACAATATTATCATTCATCTCTGATTCAGCTAAAAGAATTTTTAAAACCTAGTATGAATATGAAAAAAAAAATTTGCAACTGAAGGCTCATACTATGTTTATGCAGGTCCTACTTTAGTATTGAATACAACACAGTAAGGATTACTGCATATACTACAGAGCTGGAAAATGCATTCCTAGCAGAAATTTGGCTTACAGAAAAGCCTGGAGTCTACTTCGCAGCTATGGTTCATACCAATACACATATTCTGTCCGTTTTTGTCATGAAGTTTATTTTTAAAGTATCATTTCACTGAAAAGTATTTCAACGTGTCTTTAAAATTGGTATTACCAACGGGAATCCTGAAAAGCGCAGACAAATACCATATCAATTACTTAAGTCAAAACAGGATACTCAAAGCAATGCATTTGTTCTCCTAACTGTAAATGTCTAAGCAGCACCAATGTAAACCTTGCAGTTTAAACCAGCTAAGAAGCCCTTATTTTTTAAAAGCATCTTATCTACACTTGATTGGCATCTTGTTGACAATATTCAGAACTAAATACTCGCTGCCATGTAGCTGAATGATTCCAAATACTCTCCTCTTCCAAAGTCTGAGTAATAGTGGTTTTTTAAAACATTTGCAGAAGCTTTAAAAACAGGCAAGTATGTAGAAAAGAATTAACATAGAATGATAGACTAAAGAATGAAAGATTGAGAACTAGAGAATTGAGAGTACCATTATATCTATATTCTTTTGGACCCTATGAGTATATCTAAACTGTCTGGGAATTTTTCCCAACCTCTACACTGGGCTGCATTATTAAAACAACTTGGTGTGAGGCACACTATTAAGTACACCTAGATCTTAGACCCTCCCCAAAAAAGACAGCTAATTAGGCACTGAACATATTTGTACATACCAGATTTAAAGACTGATATTTTCTGAAAACCTGCCCCACAAGTTATTGATTACTTGAAAACATAAGAGAGTTGACCATTTTTCCCATAAATCTTTTACTGTATTTTCTACACACTGAATGTTTTGTTACATGACTACTGTTTACTGAATTACTCTGATTTAGTGGCTTTTCCCTCTCTATTTTTCAAACATACTTTTTTAGTAAGCCAAGCTGGCCTGGGAACAAATATTTTCATTAAATAGAACTGTTACATAAATATCAAAGATATACTTTGTTCTTAGTTATAATGTTATGTTACATCAGTAGGGTAACAAAATTACAAGTTCATACATAGTTGGTGTTTTGTTTGGGTTTTTTTTTTTTAAAAAAAAAAAAAAAGCACCAAGACAATGCTGTTTGGTGGGAGAAAATTTAGTTGTGTATCAAAAAAATCCTCAAAATTTCCAACACTTTTGCATCCAAACCCCCCCTTTTCCTTTTTTTTTTTTGTTTAAAAACTGTTTTATGAAATTATAACTCACCCTTGCTTCATTCTGCTGAAGCTTTTCTTCCATACTTAAAGCTGTTGGAGAATCCAAAAGTGCGATCTAAAATTGTAAAAAGCAAACATTGTCAAATTTAAAAAAAGGAAGAAAAAAGTAACAATTTCTGGCAGAATCAAATGGAAGAAATGTAATTGTTCAACTTTGATTATTTAGGATGAAGTATTTTAAACTCCAACATACATCATTTTACCTTGAAATACTGTAAACAGACTAAACAAAATCTTGTCAAAGCAAATATTTCAAAAACAAATCATTGGTTTGAGAGTACTATTTTCATTCACTATGTGTACGCATGGTCACACGCATGCAGACCACAAGTTTATAACAGGTAATTCCTGATACATCTATCTTTATATTTCTTTTAAACGTGAAAATTTATTACGCATCAATAGTTAACCATTTTGCTATAATACATATGCATATTGCTTATCTTTAATAAATATATATTAAGATAACTGGCCTCAGAAAAGGAAAACTACTATACAACACACGTACACACAAGCAATACTCATTGTTATGTGACCTTCTACACTGAATCCAGCACTATATTTTGATAACCAATATCTTCAGTGATCTACAGAAGCATTTGCAATACAGTATTCTGGGAATATAAAAGAAAACCACAAAAGAAATTATACAGAGATTTATATTCTACTGTGCATACATAACACCACCTGCTGTTTCACCAACCATCACAAATCCAATTAACTTAAGCAAGTTCTCTATTGTCTCCCACACAGCCATCTATCACATCCTACCACTGAACCAGATTTATTTTGTGATATCCACTGTTTTACAGCTTGGAACTAGGTAAAAGCATTAGATCTTCAAAGGGGTCCAAGTTACATCTTTTGCTAACTCTAAATCAAGCCATATTTTGAAAATAAATTAATTTTCCCCTCCTAAAGAATACGGGAGAAACAGAAGTATAATAGAGTAATTCAACCCCATAAAGAGTTCTCTAATTCTTTGTAACAAAGCAGAGCTCTCCAATCAAATACAATACCTATTACTGCTTCCAACTGTGGTCCCATCCCCCTTTTCAGCAAATGTTTTATAGCATGAAATCTAGCTGAAGTACTAGCCTTCTATTTTAAAAAGTCTGTGCTGAACTGACATTTCACATTGCACAGCCCATCTAAAATAAAATTACATATTTCTAGAAATAAATCTGAAGTATCATTTCAGATACTTCCAAATCATATTTGCTCAAGTATGAAATCTAGCAGTCCCGAGTGACATTATTTAGAAGAGACAATTGGCCTGAGCCAATTGCATATTCCTTATTGTTAGGTTGGTTTCACCATCCTAGAAACAGAGGCAAAATTAAGCCTAACTGAGCTTGTGCAGCAAATGTTTATAGTGGCTAATACTGAAAGAAGAACAAGAATCATGCGAAAGGGAAGTATAGCATTACACATGTTTTCTTACACCACCACTGAAAATACTTTTACATATTTATCATGTTACATGCTTTCTAATGTACCGTGCAGCCAAACACAAATAAAACGTATTGTTCAAACCCATCCATACTCCTACATTTTTATATTTGCACATCTTAAACACTTTATACCTTCTACTTCTTTTAGGATATTATATAAATTACCTCTTTGGTCCATCAGGCTAGACCCAGGGAATATGTTACTCAGTCTCCTTATGCTGTGGTGGCTACCTGTTCCACAGCACACTGCAATCAAGTTCTGATTATATTAAGAGAAAGCTGAAAGCTAAAAGCTTTGGGATGACAATTTTTCCCTCCTTATGTTAAAAAAGGTAATCTATTGGCCATATGGAAACTGATTCAATCAGAAAAATAATATTCATTCATAGCCTCATAGAGCTTGTTTACTCAAATCAATATAATGAAAGATAATTATCTCGTTGCATTCTAGAAATAGACGTTATAACTCAAGCAAAATTACACATAAATTTCAAGTAAAGCTAACCTGATTCCCTTGAGCAAGCAGGGCTTTTAATCGGGCTATTTCAGCTCTCAGCTCACGGATCAGTTTGACATTAGGATCCTCATTAATAGTAGGCTTGTTGATGATGTTTTTGGCTCTATTTGCATAGCGAAGTGTACTTAAAGTTTCTCCGTAATTGACATCAGCAGGTGAAATAGCTAAGGAGATGAAATCAGAAACAGTTTATCCAGCACCATATGTTTCATTTAGTAAAGTTAGTTTATATTTTAAAAGTCAGATAAACAATGTGGATGAAGAGACAGAAATATATGATTAACCAGTATGGCTACAATTTCTTCCAACTCTTCACCTAGCTCCACTGCTTTCACGTCACTGTAACTTTGTTTAAGTAAACGCCGTATTAGAATAGTGTGTTAGAATAATCAGGTCCAACAATCAAGCGTTGTAAAGAAATCTTGCTGTCAATCTATTTAACATTTACATTTCTCCGGTAAGCATAAACATCCTATATGAATACTTTATGGCTTTCTTGCAAAATTTTTACAAGAACAGTAGGAAAAATGGTGAGTATTTTCTAAGTATCAATGTCATCATTGAATGGAAAAGTCATTTCAGGTAGAAACACAGTAGGTTCAGTCCAAGTTTTGAAGGGAAATTAAACAGCATTCAAACAAAAAGCAGACATGAAAATGAAAACAAGGGAAGAGCTTCTATAATTTACAAACCTAGCTGTTCTGCTGAGCTGCAGGCATCTGGCAGCATGCAGAACTGTTACCTATCTGATGCATGAAGAGAAACCAGTATTTTTACAGGCAACTTAACCAGGAAAAACAATGGTGCTTAAACGAAAGTACTAATGCTATCCTTCACTTAATTTTCCTAACAATATACAAGATGTTCTCAATTAAAAAGGTAATTACTACATCCAAATAGATGAGCAAAAACACAGAAGAGAGCACCATGCAGAAATGATGAGGGACCGGAAATCTTAATAATCAAACTGAACAAGAAACCCAGAGAATCAGACAATGAAAACACCTGAAAAAATAATCAAGTAACAAAAATATACTGTTCTACCTCAACAGTAATAAATATTCTTTTTGTGGTAGAGACTCCCTGAATTAGGGGAGATGCACTTGGCAACAGACTATACTTCCCCTAGCTCACACTATCACTTCCCTACTTTGTCTACCATCTCCTCTCCACTAGTCAATTATGCTCTTTCTGGAAGGATGTTACAATGTTATAGAAATATGACAAATCAGAATTGGATGTATTTTTGTAAGAGCCTTTCCTACAGTTTGAGATGATCTTCCTGCTTTTTTTGTGTTTAGTTACAGAAAAGGCAGGTCAAATGTATCCAGGCAGCTTGTCAGGCTCTGTTAGGCAATTCAGTCGCATTACCGGTATAGTTACTGTTGGAGAAAAGATCAGCCGTATCAACCATCAGGGCTCTGCCTAGCAGAAGCATCATTAATAGATCAGGAAGTAGCTGAAAAAGCAGCTCAGCACTGTAATCATCAGTATAGGCACTGAAGCAACCTGTGTTTCTAAAAATTCTCTTCCCAATCCCTCTGTCAATAAAAACCCAAACAAACAAACAAAAAAAACCCTCCACAACCCAAGTTACTCAACCATGTAACTGAAAGAAAGCATCAAGAAAGAAAGAAGCCAGCACAGTGCTACTTAAACATCCAGAAAAACAAAGCAGAGTCTGGTCCAAGAACTTCTTTTAGTACTGCTATGATCAGCCTGAGGAAAGAAAGTGGCATGGACTCCAAAAACATCCACAAAATCATGCAACAAAGGAACTGCTATCCAGAGAATTTGACTGCAACAAAGCAACCTAACAACCAGAATTTGATCCAATGCATTTTATTCCCTCTATTCTGCTCCCCCACCAGTCCCAAGAGAGGACTGCATCAGTTAGACGGCATTTCATTTGAGCAGGAAAGA